GACATAGTAGTCTTTTCACTGACATAGTAGTCCTTTCACTGACACAGCCGTCATATCACTGACATAGTAGTCTTTTCACTGACATAGTAGTCTTTTCACTGACATAGTAGTCTTTTCACTGACACAGCCGTGATATCACTGACATAGTAGTCTTTTCACTGACATAGTAGTCTTTTCACTGACATAGTAGTCTTTTCACTGACATAGTAGTCTTTTCACTAACACAACCGTCATATCACTGACATAGTAGTCTTTTCACTGACACAGCCGTCATGTCACTGACATAGTAGTCCTTTCACTGACATAGTAGTCTTTTCACTGACACAGCCGTCATATCACTGACATAGTAGTCTTTTCACTGACATAGTAGTCTTTTCACTGACATAGTAGTCTTTTCACTGACACAGCCGTGATATCACTGACATAGTAGTCTTTTCACTGACATAGTAGTCTTTTCACTGACATAGTAGTCTTTTCACTGACATAGTAGTCCTTTCACTTACATGTTAGTCGTTTCTCTTATATGGTAGTCCTTTCTGTTGCACAATAGTCGTTTCTCTTATATGGTAGTCTATTACGTAATAGTCTTTTCTCTTACATGGTAGTCCTTTCTCTTACATGGTAATCCTTTCTCTTACATGGTAGTCCTTTCTCTTACATGGTAATTCTTTCTCTTATATGGTAGTCCTTTCTCTTACATGGTAGTCCTTTCTCTTACATGGTAGTCCTTTCTCTTACATGGTAGTCCTTTCACTTACTCTAGTCCTTTCTCTTACTCGGTAGTACTTTCTCTTACATGGCAGTCTTTCACTTACATGGCAGTACTTTCTCTAACATGGTAGTCTTTCACGTACATGGTAATCCTTTCACTTACATGGTAGTCCTTTCTCGGTAACTAGACAGACTGCCCCCCCCCCCACTCTGTGTCTAACTTACGTGATAGTCATGGCCGTCGATTCTCTGGCTGAAGTTAGTGTACTGGTCCACAATGCACTTAGCTCTGGTCTTGAATTTCTCAACGACTTCCGGGCTCCACCATTCCCGAAGTTTTCCATATTTGTCTCTCTGACGACCTGGTGATTGGAGGTGGGGTTTTTGTTTAGTAGAGGGTTTTACGGCGCTCGCAACTGCATAAGGTCATAGGAGCGCCAGATTGAAGGTGTGATAATGCATGGTGTCATTGTTATCAAAGCTAACAACTGGCTACGGGAGAAAAAAATGTTTTTGGATCCCCGTTTTATCGTCAGTAAGCTGTTCAAAATAATAATTGTGAGGCAGCATGGTGGAATCAGGCTCTCGTCAAAATAATCAAAGTGAGGAAACTAGTATTTTTCCGCAGATTTGATAAATTTTATAGATTTTTGGGGTTTTGGCTCAACACCTTTCATGCCTATTAAAAAACTCATTTCTGTGTGGATTTGATTGAAAAATGTGGATTGAAGGCACAACAAAAATTTAAATTTTCACTTACCATGGACTCTTATGCTAAGGAAATAACTAACTTTTGGCAGCCTTTTTCTCACTAATTTTACTCCTAAAACCAGGTGACCCCAACCTCCTTCATTTGCAAATATCACGACTTGTATTCAAAATAAATGCATTTTTTTCCATTCAAATAAAGACAAGTAAATAAGCTTTAAGATGATACCAATAACTCTACATGCCCAAAAATTGACGAGAGCCTGATTCCACCACGTCGTGACACACAAAATCTAGGACAAGATAGCAGCATTATTCGGGAGAGAGACCGAATAGAAACTTTCACTCCTTTAAAAATTCTAGCTAAATTATGTATATTATTTTGTAGATTTTTTCAACTTTTAGAATTCGATTTTTGTTTAAAAATATGAGACAAGCACAACATGCAACCTGTACCGCAAATTAAGAAACTGCAATTAAAAAAAAAAAAATAGAGCTTGTAGTATTTGGCCTATACCCTGCCATGGGTGAAAGGCATTGACGAATTTTAAAGAATATAATAATAGGAAAAACTAGGCTAGTAGGAATAAATATCCTGAGCTTTTCAAACGCCGTGGAAATGTGCGCACAGAAATTCTTAATTTACGGAAAACATTTTTGTGATGTGTCTTGTAAAACAACCAAACGATCGGCCTGAAGTAGCACAATGAAGACAATTTCAGGACTTATTCGGGAGAAAAGGGGAATGTGGAGATATATAGATAGATAGATAGATAGATAGATAGATAGATAGATAGATAGATAGATAGATAGAAGTAGAAAAAGGGGGGAGGAGTTGGAACGCTCCATATTTTATATCCTTCAGAAGAGTTATATTATTTTAAAGGCCTTACCAGCGTCGTCAAAACCATGAGTGATTTCGTGACCAATGATGGATCCAATTGCTCCGTAGTTGATGTACCTGGAATATAGGGGGAGATAGGGTAGGTCGTTTAAAAAACACAGATAGGCTTACGTAGAGAGAGGGAGTGAGAGAAGGAGAGAGGGAGGGAGGGAGAGAGAGAGAGAGAGAGAGAGAGAGAGAGAGAGAGAGAGAGAGAGAGAGAGAGAGAGAGAGAGAGGGAGAGAAAGAGACAGAGACAGAGACAGAGAGAGAGGAGGAGAGATAGAATGTGTGTGTGTGTGTGTGTGTGTGTGTGTGTGTGTGTGTGTGTGTGTGTATGTATGCGTGTGTGCGTGTGTGTGCATGTGTGCATGTGTGTGTGTGTGTGCGTGTGTATGTTCACGTGAGTACAATGAAGCACATCAAAATGACAACTTCCATACAGTACTGGTTGAAAGCAAGATAATAAATAGAAAACGAAGGGATTGAAAACATGCCATTCAGAAGAAAAAAACTTTGCATTTTAGTAAGAAGGAAACCCTTCTCTTATTCAAAATAACAGTTTATTTCTTAGTATTTATTAACACAGTTTGACATTTTGTGAATTGTATGGGCTTTTTGGGGGTGTGGGGGGGGGTGTTGAGGGGTGTGGTCATCATCAGATGAGCGAGGTGCTAACTGATACAGGGCGCCATTGGAAGGTTTTCTACTGCTTCACTGTCCTTCTTTTGCTTTGTTCATCGTAGTAAGTAAAATGTAAAGGTGTACAGGTAGAAAGGGTTACATCTGGAGGGCAATGTTGCCCACAGTAGACGATTTGGTAATTTTAGTTTGTGGGTAGGTTTTTTTGTTTTAGTAGAGGTTTTACTACGCTTGCAACTGCATGGGGTCATATGAGGGCTAAGGGGTGGATGTCAACAGAGAAGTCCTCTCAGGGAATCACACCTACTTTGCTCACCTCTCTAGCTTCAACAGCACAAAGTCTGTTTCGGTTATCAAGGCACCCCGGAAATAGCAGGTCACAAGAGTGTGATAAACAAAAAAAGTAGAGGAAAAAATGACAATAGATAGGATTAGGAAAGAAAACGCAGCAGTTCCTTGTTGCAGTTCAGGCAGGGATGAGCATGACATCGATGAATTAGCCTATTTATCATTCAACTGTGTATAAGAACAGGTTAATGCCCCCCCCCCCCTCCTTTGGGAATGGCATAAAGACACTTCGGTCAGTAGTACCGCCCCGCGGGGTATTGTAGGTAGGAATCTTTCGGATAGTGACAAGTATTATTAACTAGCTGGGCCCCTTTTCGATGAAAGGAATGATCGGTGCATTAACATCAACCGAAAGTCATTGGCCTACTATATTTACACTCTACTGGAATGGAGTAATAAATCTTGAGAGAAAAGTAACACATGTGTTTCCAAGCTGCCAAATATATAATAGTAATAGATGTATAAATTGATTTTCTATTCCGCTTTCGTGGTTGTACACTCCAGAATTTCAAAGGTGAGGAACCGGTGCGCACGGCTAGTGAACTAAAACCTCACTTGTTTACAAGAGCGTCTTAGAAGACGGACTTACCCAAGATTAGATCTAAATTTTTTTTTTAACGAGAAACTGAAAATCAAAGTACAGTGACTTCAGGCTCCTCAACAAAACTGTGCACCCTGTAAATGATTCTGAACCACCGTTAATTTGGTCAAATTCGAAAGCTAAGTGGTTCCGAAGTTTTAGGTGGCCAAAGTGACGAACTTTCACAAATATTATATGTATAGATGCCCATCTTGGATGTACATTAGTTGGCCTTACAAAAATGTTGGCACCTTGAAGTTGTCAAGAGTGGCCGCTGACCACAAATTGTCAAAACACAGAAAGCTAGATCATCTAATTAACGTTACCATACCCGGGGAAACGGGAGTTGAAATTTGGTGGCTGGAGCACTCCTGCTGGGAAGGCTGAAAGAGAAATTTAATGATAATAATAATAATAATAATAATAATAGTTATAATAGCAACAATAATCATTATCATCATCATCATCATCCTCATCATCATCATCAGCATCATCATCATCATCATCATCATCATCATCATCATCATCATCATCATCATCACCATTGTTTGATAAGCAGAGTAGGAGGGAGAGTCTTGTTTGAATTTTAGACAAAATAACATAACAATATAATATGTTCAAATTTATTTAATAGCTAAAAAGTTTCGCCTCGTGGGCTTCCTCATCATCATCACAATACAGACAGACAGATAGAGACAAAATATAGAAGAAAAAGAAGTAGGACCTAACAGTGGCGTCCTACAACCACCCGCACAAATGCAGAGTCATCCTTAGTTGAGGTTTTTTATTTTTTGTAAGAGTTTTACGGCAATAAGGTCATATAAGTACCGAATAATAGATGTGTTACAAGAGATTAAAAGTTGTTCCCGCATCCGATCCGGACATTGGGGATTGCCTTGTTAGTTAGACAATTCCTTGGGCCTTTGGCCCATTGTGGTAGGGTGGCCAGTTCCTTTCCACGCCGCCTTTACTTCCCCAACTTGAAGTCAGGTACCCATTACCTCTGGGTGGGCAGGAGGGGGCGAAACGAGGCCCGCACTCGGACTTTCCGCTTCGGAGACGAGCGCTCTGACCACTCCGCCACCGCACCCTCTTTACAAGAGAGTAACATACGCAAAACAGGAGGAGAGGTAAGGACAATAGAAGTTTGATAGGAAAGAAGGAGCAAACCACACCAGAGCACCCGCCAGCCACTCAGAATTAAGTGGTCTTTATAGTAATATCCAATGTGTCATATGAAAGCAGATGGCAGAACATGATGAGAGAGCAAGAAAGAGTGTAAAAGGAGACATTTTTAGAGAAGAAACCTATTCTTTGTCGCTGCCAGGTTTCGAACCCGGGACCAATTGAATGACAGGCGAACACCGTACCTCCAGACCACGAGAGTCCCCTCAGTCTCTTTCATAGCAATACTCAATAGGTTTCAAAAGCAGTGTAAAACTAATCACATTATTATGATATTATGAGATTTTGGGGATTAATGATAACGTTATAATGATATTTGTCTCTCTCGCTTCTCAGGTGCCTAAACCGTTAGGGTTTTTGTTGTTGTTGTTTTTTTGTTTGTTTGTTGTTGGGTTTTTTCAGTCGATGTTGTGAAGTAGACTATGAGCCTATCCTGGTTTATGAACGTTCAAAGTTGAAATCCAAGTGGGTTTGTCTAATGCTCTAGTTTTTCCTGCGTATGTGTCTGTCTCATTCGATTGTTCTGAGCGTGAACAACAACAACAACAACAACAACAACAGCAACAACACAACAACATTAACTACAACAACAGCAATAACAACAACATTAACATCATCAACAACAACAACAACAACAACAACAACAACATAAACAATAACAGCAACAACACCATTAACAACAACAACAACAACAACAACAACAACAACAACAACAATACTGACAATAGCAACAACAACAACAACAATAACAACAGCAACAACAACGTCAGCAACTACATTAACAACAACAATATTAACAACAACCGCCACAACAACGTTAACATCAACAACACCACTATCACCACCACCAACAACAACAACGACAACAACGTTAACAACAACAACAACAATAACAACAGCAACAACAACAACAGCAACGACAACAACAACAACTCTCACTGATTTGATTGGTCGATGGGCTGTAGTAGGCGTTGACTGTCTGTGGCGGGTCACTCCACCTGGAACGTGCAAGGGGGAACAATAAAACAAATGTGTCACGTCATGGTGGAATCAGGCGCTCGTCAATACTTGGCAATGTGGAGTTATTGGTATCATCTTAAAGAATATTCATTTACCTTGATTTCTGTGAAAAAATACCCGTGTGTCTTGAATAGAAGTCGAAATATTTGCAATAGAAGGAAAGGGTGTGTGTGTGTTTCAGAGGTAAAAGTAGCGAGAAAATGGCCGCCAAAGTTTGGTAAGTTCAATAGCTTGAGAGTCCTTGAAGACAGGAAATTTCTATGACTTGTGTCATTAATAAACGTTTTACGGTAAAATTCTCACTAACCTGTGTTTTATAAGGACATGAAGGATGTCGAGACAAAAAATTAAAATTCGAAAAATATTGTCAAACTTATGAAAAACGCCTGTTTCTTTGATTTTATTATTTAGACGAGCGCCTGATTTCATCATAATGCCTCACAAATTTTCATTCACAATTGTCCTCCTTGGTGTGTTATAACATGACACTTTGACGCTTTTTTTCTTTTCTTTTTTTAGTAAGAGTTTTGCGGCACTTGCAACACAATAAAGACATATAAGTGCCGAAGATTACAGGTGTTACAAGAGAGTAAGAGAGAGAGAGAGAGAGAGAGAGAGAGAGAGAGAGAGAGAGAGAGAGAGAGAGAGAGGGGGGAGGGAGTAACAAACATAAAAAGGAGGAGGGGAGAAGATAAAGACGATAGACGTTTGATAGGAAAGAAGGAGCAAACCACACCAGAGCACCCGCCAACCACCCACACACTTTGTCTATTTCTTGGCAGCGTCTACTGAAGTTTACCTCTCTTCAGTACACAATATGAAAAAACTTCACTTTTGGGTGGTTAGCTAGTGCTCTGGTGTAGTGTGCTCTTTTTTCCCTACAAAACATTTATCGTCATTTCTCCTCCTTCTGTTTTGTGTTTGTTACGCTCTTGTAACACTTCTTATCTTTAGGACTCATATGACCTAATTGTGTTGCGAGTGCCGTAAAACTCTTACTAAAACAAAAGGCAAAGCAAACTTGGCTTATTCTGTTTACTTTGGAAGTTAGCACCGGTCCTATTTGCCGAGACCACCTGATCATGCGGACCGGACCAATCAGATAAACGATGCTGTGCCGAGACAAAGTGGCGTATCTGACAAAAATCAAGTTTCTTGCGATTATTTATTGGTACACAAGTCTTGTCCATATGATCCTTTTTATATCAAAGGCAGGATGTCTTACCTACATCTGAAATGATAGTTTTCAAAGAAGAAAAGCTACGTAAGTGGCTAATCTCAATAATAAGTGTCAAGAGTTTTTCGACTTTTTTTTTCTCCAAATGATGAAATGTGCACTTACGTCGTTCTGCTTTTGGAGTGCTGAATGTACCCTCCCCCCCCCATCCCACGCACACACACACACACACACGCACACACACTTTACCTTGTCTTGTCTGTTGGTGTTCTGAAACCGCTGGCGTCTTGGGCAAACCTCAGCGTTTTGCAGCTGACAACGTTTTTCAGGAAACTGGTTCGGTTTATTGAGGCCTAGAGAGAGGGTATGCAAATTAAAATGGTATGGGCATGTCACAGGATCCACAGGACTCGTCAAACAATCCTACAAGGAACCGTACAAGGAAAGAGAAAGAGAGGAAGGCAGAGAAGGAGATGGGAGGACAACATTACAGAGTGGACAGGAGAGACGATGGGTGACAATCTGAGGAAAGCAGAGGACAAAGAGAAATGGCGAGAGCTGGTTTTCAGATGCAGTGGTGCCCCCACAGTTGAAGAAGAAGAAGAAGAAGAAGAAGAAGATCA